ACTGCGGCGAAGTTATCCCGAGGGAATTTTTCACCGGTGGACGTTTTTGCGGAAACGCTCCTGCAGGTACAGTCATTGTTGAGAGAGAGAATTGAGAGATCAACAGCCCTACCATCCTCCCCCGAATAGAACGCACCCTGAAAATGAACATATATAAGGTACGTTTCCGGCCCGATACAGTCAAAATGAGGGTGCGTTGTGTTCGGGGGAAGAAGGTAGGAGTATTGATGTGAGGAGGGATTGGGAGGTGGCCCCACCCCAGGACCACCACTGGCTGCCCGCTGCCAGCAATCACCATGTGTCTGGTCCGTGGCGTCTACAGAGAAAGAAAGAAAGAAAGAAAGAAAGAATGATCAAGGGCGCCATTTGCAGCAAGAAGTTCTTGATGCTGTTCCGCGTGATCGGATAAGCTTCTGTTTTTTTTTCTTCCTTTTCTTTCTTCCTTTTTTTTTTTTTTAAATAGATAGCTAGGATGGCTATCGGGACCTGGATTCACCACTTACCCCCAAATCTGTGGTCCCCATTGTAACAGATTTGACAGACCTTGTTCCGAACTGCGTTGTCTCAAAAGGGCCAGGACACTTGATTGAATCTCTCTCCCCCCCCCCCCCCCCCCCCCCCCCCCCCCCCCCCCCCCCCCCCCCCCCCCCTCCTCCTCCTCCTCCTCCCTCCTCTTCCCTGTGGTTCCACTGGACCCCGGAGATGGGTGGTTGGGAGGAGCCTTGTAGACCGGGTCGCATTCGTTCAAATGTTGTTTTGGACTTCAACGTCGTCAAAGTTTGCACATAATTTTTTCTTATGTTGCCCATGGTTGATTTTTTTTTTTTTTTTTAATTTAAACCAATGGTTGATATTGCTGCTTGCATTTACGATGACGGGGGTAAGATGGGTTTACTCTTGGATGTTCACTTCCCCGAGTATTCGGCGAAGCTTCAGCGAATATTCGCAAGCTTTGATCACTTTGCCAGTCCCTACGTTAGCAGGTCTCTATGCAGCGCGCCTTAGGCATTTTGCAAAAGTGATCAAAGCTTTGCCAATATCACTGAAGCTTCGCCGAAGCTTCGCCGAAGACTCGGAGAAGTGAACAACTCGCGGGTGTTTTTTGCTGGCTTATGCAGCGTGCCTATTGACCCGCTAACTTAGGGACTGGCAAAGTGATCAAAGCATGCCTATTTTTTTTTGACGGCTCAATAGGCATGCTGCATAAGCAAAAAAAAAAAAAACACCCAGGAGATGTTCACTTCTCCGAGTGTTCGGCGAAGTTTCAGCGATTTTGGCAAACAAAGCTTTGATCACTTTGCGAAATCCCTTATAGGTTCGCGGGGGGTTCAAAAAAAAAAAAAACGGTTCGCGGGTCTCTATTTTTCTGGCTCGATAATGCACGCAGCGTAAGCCAGCAAAAAACACCCACGAGTCAAAAAGCCACGACCCAAAGAAAGATACGCCACAGCCAGAAAACAAAAAAAAAACACTCCAGACACGCCGCTGGCGCGCGATATGCATTTCATTTTCACAATTTCCTGTCAATCACGTTCGAAGAGAAACCGAGAGGAGGCAGGTGCATGAAAAGAGGCATTCCCAAAAAAAAAAAAAAAAAAAAAAACCCGCATAAACCGGTTGAGGATGTCGCTCAGAGTAGGGCTTTCAGGATGTTTACATCTGATATACTACTGCTCTTGAGTCAGCCGTGGAGTCTGGACCTGACATAGCCTATGGAAATATACAACTACCAACCGCAAACACACACGGGAGAGGAAACAGGAGAGAGCGAAAACAGAGGAGTAGGCCAACTCCGCCTACGTAGCTCAGTTGGTACACCGACGAACTGTTGAAATGCGGACCTACGTTCGAATTCCAATGGAATATAAGATGAGAGTGAAAAATAACTCTAAATTTAGGAGAGAAGAAGGAAAAACAAGGAGAGAACAAGAAGCAGGAAAAAAAAAAAAAAAACCTCGCTGGTCAATTCAAAGATGTTATCTCAAGGCCATCGCCGTTAAAAAAAAAAAGGAGAGAATAAGAAGAAGGGGAAAAAAAAAAAAACATTAAAAAAAAAACAAAAAAAACAGAAGAGAAGAAGGCCGGGTGTGAGTGCAGCGCTGTAGAGAACAAGGGCGGGAGAAAACAAAAACAAAAACAAAAAACCGGGCGGGAGCTTCCTTCCCCAAGCAAGGAACCCCATCAAAGCAAAAAGGCGCTGAACCCCATCAAAGCAGAGAATGGAGGAGGAGGAGGAGGAGGAGGAGGCGGAGGAGGAGGCGCTCCTTCTCCTCCTCCTCCTCCTCCTCCTCCCCCTGCTGCTGCTGCTGCTCCAGCGCGCCGATTGTGTCGTTTCCAGCGCTTATCTTGCATTACGCCATCGGGGACGTCAGTTCTATCATCTGACTGAACAAAGCATGGATGATGGAGCAGCAGCAGGACGAGGAGGAGCAGATGCCAGAAGTTAGATCTCCACCTCTACCTTCCTCGATGCGCGATCGGTGCTTTCGTCGCCATGCACGTGTGCTAGCCATTGTGATTCCTCCCCCCTCCCCGCCCCCCCTCCCCCTCCTCACCAAAAAAATAGAAAACATTCTCATCTGTAACGTTCCATGGACTGTAATGTAAGCATCATCCACAGACCTCTTCAGCCTCTTCTACTTCCATTCATCCACCTGCGCGATCCTTTTCGACTTCGCACTCCCTTCAAATTTATTTAGGGCTTGACAGGCCTGTCGCCGCCTCATGGGGGACCTTGATTGGCATTCTATTTACTTGCAAGGCAAAAGTATTTTTGCCTTGCACACTGTGCCCGTCCGCAATCAAATGCAAAAGTGCCGTTTTAGGCACAAAACAAGAGAAACAAACAGATTGCGTCCAGCTCCTCAATACACAACAGAAAAGGAAAGAACGTACTCCGAGACATCCGTTAAAATTGGAACGATACAGAGAAGGGTAATTAGCAAAATAGCCCCTGCGCAAGAATTTCAAGAAAAAGACAACAAAATAAAAAAAAGTGCCGAACTTCTTTTGGCCTCCTCATTGATCAGCCGTCATCCAGTTGGTTTGCTACCCCTTAAACCCCTCCCCCCCCCCCCCCCAAAAAAAAAAAAAAAAAAAAAAAAAAAAAAAAAAAAAAAAAAAAAAAAAAAAAAATTTTCTTTTTTCTTTTTTCTTTTTTCTTTTTAATCGAGCGCTACAGTGTCCCACCTCTCTGTCCCAAGACGGTTCTTGCATCACCATCGCTAGTAGACTTAAGTCTCCCCCCCCCTGTCGAAAAAAAAAAAAAAAAAAAAAACATACCCAATAATTACAGCTGTACTTGGTACACATTTCAGGGCCTACATATATAGATAGATATAACAATGACCGGGCCTTATGTTCGGCAGACGAAGAGGTAGACGTCGTGCGTTTACGCATTGCTTTCAGTATGCTTTGTAAAATTACCCATAACCGATGTGCCGTCCTGACCCCGGTTATCCCATTAATTTACTACAGTAAAAACCGGTTAACGGTCCGATTTCCCCCCCCTGACCCTGACCACCCCCGCCCCTCCCCCGCCCCTTTTTTTGGGGGGGAGGAGGAAAAAAGGAGGGGGGGGGGGRGAGGGGGGCAAGAGGGAGGGTTGGCTGGGGGCTCAGGGCCCTGTCAGAATGCATGCGGAGGACATGCATACGTCCAGATGCATTCCGACCGAACTGGTTTCCAGATTTGGAAACACTCAGTGTCCAACAGGATTTTCACACGTCGAATGACTATTTTTTGCTATTACTGGTCATTACTAATTAATTAATTAATTGCTCTGTGTATTCTTCTTCTCAGCCCAGCAGCAGACACGTACAACGTCGTCCTACTTCTCAAACTTTTTTTTTCTTCTCACTTCTCAACCTTTATGTTCTTAGTCGTGTCGCATGATGTTGGGCGGCTTAGAAACGAGCGCGAGTATACACATCATCCTACCGACCAGGTACATCCAGCCATTCACCCCTTGGTTGTCCGGCTTAGCAGCGTGGACCCGCCTGGTGGCTGTGCATGGTACATGCACGTAACTCCTGACGAACAGATCCAGCGTTCAAATCTTCACGGGCATAAAAATGCTGCGGGCTTGGGGCTGACTTCTGAAAGAGAGCAAGAAAGAGAGAGACACAGAGAGAGAGAGAGAGAGAGAGAGAGAGAGAGAGAGAGAGAGAGAGAGAGAGAGAGAGAGAGAGAGAGAGAGAGAGAGAGAGANAGAGAGAGAGAGAGAGAGAGAGAGAGAGAGAGAGAGAGAGAGAGAGAGAGAGAGAGAGAGAGAGAGATCTAGAAATCTACAAAGAGCTGACGGACTGGGTAAGGAGAACAAACCGAGGCGCGGAAGGAGATAGAAGGAATGGGTGAACGCGAAGAAGAGGCAGAGATGGGAATCTTCTAGAGACCAGGATTGCACAAGCTGAAGGGTGAAGCGCGGGAAGCAAGAAGTCAGTCAGCTATGTGGCTGTCAGGACCAATGCGGGAGCCCCTCCTCCTCGCCGTTCCACGTCTCCTCCTCCTCCTCCTCTTTCTCCGTCCTTGGTACTCATGCCCCTCTCCTCGACTGCTGTGCCTGTCATCGGAATCTTCTCTTCCCCACGGATCTACAAGGTCGTCATTGCCCTGCATTGCTGTATTTAAACATTACATTACATTACTACAGTATTATCTCGGCTCGTCTGTTCTACCTCGGCCTCGAACCGCTGTCTTATAGAAACAGATCATCGAGACAAAAGTAGGTCGGCATTGCCCTTCATTATCGTATTTACGCATTATCATCTCGGTCCGGCTGTTTTTTTTCCAGCCTCGAACTGCCGTTCTATAGGACAAGATGGTGGAGGCCAAGACGGAGGATGATGAAGACGAGGCGGCGGCAGGTCGGAGGAGGAGAGCGGGGCGAACGAAAGGCGCATTGATCGGACGAGGAGGAGGAGGAAGGGTTGGGAGGACGAAGACACATGGATTGCGAAGGGATGAGAGGAGGAGGAGGAGGAGGAGGAGGAGGAGCTTACCCATGAGATGACGTGCCGCTTGCCCGGGCAAACGTGTAGAGGGACAGGGGAGAGAGAGCCAGTCGTGTGGGGGGTTAAGTGTCGGATATGGCGAAGCTGAAGGGAAGGGGAGGAGGGTCAATCAATTAAAGCGACGTCCACCGGCCGAAGACGACGACAGGTACCTTCTTTCGGCCGAGTCCTCCTTTCGGAAACGAACTCTCTGGCACTCTGTCAATCGTCGACAATGAAAAGTCCCTGGGCCCAGGGCCCAAGGCCCAGGGCCCACTTCGCCAGATTCTTCATTCTGGACCGAAGATCAGACGGATCTACGGCCTCAAACACCGAACCAGGATAAGTGGGACCTTGCCCCAACCATGGCCGCTGGCTGTCCCAACCCCGCCATAACGGCAGTATCGACTGAAGAATGCTCTTACTTGTTCTTTACATTTTCATCTGAAGTCTGAAGAATTCTGGGTTCGAACTTGAGTCTGGATTCCAAGAGTTCCGGGACCTGGTCCCATTAGCAAAGAGGATTAGATTTAATTCGGGAATCTGGACGTGTTTGGCGGACAGATGCAGAAAAGCAGATCAATCTCAGTTGTCCGCATCTTTCTACAAACATGTCCAGAGTCAGGAATTGAATCCAATCCTCTTTGCTAATGGGACCCCGGGGTGCACCAACTGAGCAGCCCGTTGGTAGCAGTATCGACTGCACGCTAGCGGCCTACCGGTAGCCCAAATGGTAAGACACACAAGTGGCTATCAGGAGATCACCGGTTCAACTCCCCGTTGTCCCATGTACCTTCCTGGGCATACTTGGTGTGCCCCATTGAGAGAGAGCCCATTGGGCAGAGGTTGCTGCTGTTCTTAGGGAAGGGGACTGGAGGGGAGGCGCAAAGATTGGTCCTGATGGCATGGTCTCTGACGTTACTCGCAGGCGCAAAGATTGATCCAGATGGCATGATTTCTCACCCTACTGGCTGACACCTGGCCTGGATCTCCCACCTGGGGCGAGGTCCCGCTCCCGCTAGCAATGCCATGAAGGTGGACCTGTTTGTGAAGAGGTGCAGAAAATTACAATTTATCTGCTTTTTTGCATCTCTGCAGGGGCCCCTCTCATGTTCCCTTGTTGGAGGCATGAACAGGGATACGGCTGCTATGGGGTTCCCAGATATGGGGTTCCCCCTAATACTACTATAATGATAACAAGTTGGCCCGCTGCGCCCCAATGAATCTCCTGCTATAACATCGGAAGATGCAGCCCCGTAACTTTTTCTCTTCTGCATGTCGAGAGCAGCGGAACGACCTCTCTCTCTCTCTCTCTCTCTCTCTCTCTCTCTCTCTCTCTCTCTCTCTCTCTCTCTCTCTCTCTCTCTCTCTCTCTCTCTCTCTCTCTCTCTCTCTCTCTCTCTCTCTCTCTCTCTCTCTCTCTGTGTGTGTGTGTGTGTGTGTGAGGTGTGCGTGAAGAGCAAGAGATCCGTTCAACCCCATTGCAAAAACAAAACGGGCAGCGAGAAGATACCTGTGATGCTCAAACCTCACTCCCTGTGCTGTCTTCCGTTCGGAGTGTTTAAAATTGTGGAAGGGGCCCCGGAAAGGCAGCAAGATGGGGTGTGCCAAGGATTTTTGGAAGATTGAGTGCGGGGACACAGACAGAACTGAAATCCCTTGTGCCAGTCCGACTTAGTAAGAAGGGGGGGGGGAGTCCGTCACTGCGCGGGTTTTGAGGGAGAAGAAGGCGCGCGCGGGACTCATGGCGCGGGGAAATTCAATCCAAAAAGTATCGTTGAACTTCCCATCGAGCCGTCGCTTTACGTTTCGCGTAGAAGGGGGCGGGCACGCACTTGGTATCGCGTTTCCGGATCAAGTCTCGACGCCGCTCATTACACAACTTTGAATCTGACGCGGAAGGCCTTAACCGAGTGGCTCTTTCCTTATGCTCATCTTCCTCTCGTACTCGGTAGTGAAAGCCCTTCGATTGGTAACGCTCGAAGCGGCGACAATCGCTGCATAGAGTGTTAGGCCAATGGGGTGCTACAGCCGACCACGGGATTACGATTAGCTCATTTAACGGCAATAGCAACGAATAAGGCGGAAAGTGTGTGTCCACAATAACAAAACCAGCACCGACAAATCCAGAGCATCGAGTTTCAAGAGGGAAATAGTATCTTTCGTCGATCTTGGCGAGGGCTTCTCGTACGTCCCACTCGCATACACGTGTCCTCTTCTCGTTATAGGGGAAGGGGCATGGCGGGGATGCGGGAGGTCGGCGCCCAGTCGGCTTGGGACAATCGGTCCACATGGCAATAGCGAAATTCTATCTAGCATGCATCCCACATGTCGATCACAACGATTCTACGATCTATTCAGAGTCTCAGACAAGTCCAGGCAATCGTCTCATCATGACATCATTCAAGCATTCTCATTCATTTCCCCCAGACATTCATCAAAGAAGGTGCGAAAAAGGCAGCCACATATCACTCAGTTCTCCGTGTGCTCTGCACCCTACCCTGTTATCCCCGTGACTAATTAAGCGTCAGCCAAAACAACCATATCATCCCTCGTGTGCAATAGATCGACACGCCTCCATAACCGTTCATGTCATAGAGGGAAAGAGAGGAGGTAAGGAGGAAAAGACGCGAAGCAGACAAGGTAGATGAAAATTACACCAAGATCCGATGATGAAAAAGAGTTTCCGGCTTAACTGTCGTCGAACTGAACTCACTCCAAGGAATAGATTCGAGACAAGGAGGCGCATCCGCCGTGAAGTTCAACTATGGCCCCGGGTCATTCATCCATTAAACTCTGATTACTATCCACGTGCATGCACTGACGATCCCAACCGTCACGTGCCACTTCCCACCACTGCGATCGTCACCCCGCCGACTTAGTCTCTACACGGCTTGCTCGGATTCCACAGTCCGTTGTGGCAATCAGGCGCACCGCGGCCCAGACTACAGTCAGCCCGTCAGGACTTTTCGACTCACACTCCACACGTACCATCTAGCCACTGCTTCCCGGAAGCTGGCAGACGAGTTGAGAAAGAGATTTGCGGGCGCGCTTGCGGAATTTATAGTCGCGAGAAAGGAGGTGGATACGAGGGAGGATGAAGATTGGGGCAGGGAAGGGTGAGGGAGGATTTGGGGATAATCGCTCGGCGAAAGCCATGTTGATCCTTCTGAGTCCGATCGTAGCCAATCAGAGTCGTCGCGTAATAGAAGCTTCCTCTTATATGACGCTTCTCCTTGGCTAAACGGGGTGAAGAAAGGGTTGACCGGGTCCTTGGGTGTTGGACTTAGAGTGGGAGGAAGAAGGGGGCGCAGGAGAGCGCGAAACAGATCCAAGATTCAGATGATCAAGAAAGAGAAAGGGTGCGCGAGGCGCGCGCGCGCGCGCAAGAGAGAGAGAGAGAGAGGGAAAAACGGTTACAGAGGGAGAGTGGGCGCGGGCGCGGAGGGAGCGTCGAAGATGGCAAGGGGAGAAGAAAGGGGGAAGCTGGCTTGCATGGCGCCGATCACAAAATGCAAAAAGAGGCACCAAAACAGTTACAGATTCCTAAGTCCTATGCTAATTCAAAAATTGAAATCACCATATCCGCGCGTAAAGTAGGTGCGCGGAAAAGACGGTCCTACATCCATTCATATTCCCACCAAATTCCCAGAGTTTTTTGTGACGTGGTCAAGAACATTCATGCACAAAAAGGAGACGTCGGGTTTCGTTCATTTCGAAATTTTTAACTGTCGGGCCAAATTCCAAGCGTACTTGCTAAAGCGCGAGTAATTCCCATGCATTTCCCAAATTATGAAAACGGGATTTCAAGAATCAATGAGACTGAAAACACGGGTCTCAGCAAGGCATCTTAAAAAAGGAAAACAGAGAGGGGCCTTGTTGGCCTGAGCAAAATTCAAAAAGAAAAAGAGAGAGAAGGGTCAGGAAGATGGCGCAGGCTCAGAAGCTGGTACGTCACATTTGTGACGCTCAGGGGGTTCCAAAATTATGCAATCTCCTGATTGCATGCAAAAAAGCTAGTTTACATGTCGGAGGAGGAAGAAGGGGGCGAGAGGATGAATGAGGAACCCAGCGTATCAAGAGAGAGACCGTCCACATCAACACAAATGATTGAGCCAGAGTTCATGTTGACGCCAACGTCAATTGCAATATTTATGCGAGTCTGCTGGCTCGTGCTGCTAGAACCCCACATATCTAGCCTTGTCATCAGCAACTCGCTGCTTTTTAATGGGCGGAGGTCATCCAAGTGACACCATCATAGTCCGCCGTGTCTTCACTGGTTCGGCTACATCATTGGAAGTTCGCCCGGCGGTAGTCGATAAGGAGAGGGTTGTGGAGGGGTCGCGGCCATTCGGGTGGGAGTGGAGGGAAGTAATCCGCAGCTTCGTCACCGAGGTCGACGAAGTGGACGATCCGGTGCGCGCAAGGAAATCAATGATTGGGTTGGGACAGGGATAAAAGGTAGTCAGGATACAAAGAGGGAACGCTACGGAGGACATTGTCCCGTAGGGACTCATAATCTTCCACAACGGGAAAGGTCCCGGAGATAATACAATACAACTCCATATGGTTGTATTGTCTCCAGGTGACATTGAAAAGGAGGATATTGAGAGGGAAGGAGGGAGAGCGGTGGGGAAAGACTGTACATAGACGTCGCGCGGCGAAATGATGACAAAACAATTGATTAGCGAAGATACGGTAATTTAGGGGAATTCAATATGGGGGAGAGGGGAGAAAAAAAGGTAATCAAGAGGGCGGCGGAAGACGAGATGAGGACGGAACGTCCGGGCCGGGAGGAGGACGGGAACGAAGCGCGGAGGGGTCGGATGAGGGAGATGGTGAGCAGGAGCGGCGACGTCGGCGAGAGGTTGTTGCACCATCGTGTCGACTGGCGGCGTCCGAGGGAACTTCGAGATTCAAAGTGGATCCTCCCTGATTGGCAGATGACGCTCGAGCTGGAGAAGCCTCCTGGGGCTCAGGTGCGGATGCCTCTTCTTCTTCCTTCAACGTCGACCGGGCTTCCGACTCTTCTTCCTCTGACAGTCCCGCGATGGCTATGCGACCTGGGTCATCGTCCAACGGTACTTCCCTGTTCTCCTGATGAGCCTTCCAGAACTCATCAAAGTTGGAGTTATCCGGCGCGAGCTCGTTAAGGTCCATAAAGCACCAAGTCGTGGGGTCGTGATTGCTCAAGTATTGACAAAGTCCTCCGTGCAGTTCGCCCAAATTACTGTTGGTGTCAACTTCCTCTCCAAAGTCACAGGTTCGACCTGACCTGGATCGCTCGGATTGAAAAAGACGACATCCGTTGGCA